AATGTAGAAAAATCATGATGAACTAATTATAATTTTAGATGAAGACGGGATCCATCCAGCACTTGTAGGACTCATCCTAGTCCCGTCCCTGCCTCACATAGGACTTGTCACCAATTGCATTGAAGACCAGTGCAACTATAAGCCAAGTACTAACTCTCCCAGGTAAAGCGCAAAAGACTGGGATTCGGACTTTTGGGAGCTTGCATTCGGACTTTTGGGAGCTTATATTCTTTGTGATGTAGCCAGAAGCTGAGTCCAGGGAATGCACTGTCACCACTTAGTGAATAGGGAAAAGATTGGCACAACTAACAATACTAATAACAATACGGTACCATTTGTCATCAAAGACTTTACAATTAGTACCTACATCACTAGAAACACATTCATTTGGCTGGGGGATTCCTGCCCAAGAGGGTAACGATTTTTATTTTTATTTATTATTACTATTTTGAGCATAGCTAATGTCTCTTGTGCTTGGACCTCGAAGGAAAGGAACAAAAAACTAGAAGAGAGTATTTACAAATTCAGTAAACTTAAAGTCAGTACAAAACAATGGTGGCTGAAGAACTGCTGTTGAAGATATAAATAAATGTGATTACAAGAACTGACTGTCCCACCCTCTGCCCCGCCCGAAGGCTCAGGAAGGTGCAGCTAAAGGCCCCGGCCCGCAGGCGCAGGGAGGATCGCGGACCCACCCAGCCGGGCTCCTCCCTCCGCCTCTCTCCTCCCCTCCCGCTGGGAGAAGAGCGGGGGACCCCAGCGCGCAAGCGCCGACCCGCCAACTCTGCAGCCACCTCCCGCCAAAAGCGCCTGCGCAGAGGCGTAAGTAGGCGGAGGGGCGAAATGAGGAGCGAGAGAGGAGAGCGCGCGTAAATCCTAGAGAGGCGGGCTAAGGAGGGCTGGGGGGAGGGTTCGTCTTCCGGAAAGTCTGCATTCCCGGACGACCAGAGTTGCGGCTCACCGAACTCCCACTTGTGAGATGATCGAAGAAAGTCAGCTGCCATTTGTACCCATAAGAGATCTTCAGACAGAAGCCGGACATGTCTTCAGGCTGAAACTAGATTTTGCAAGAGGCCGGTTTCCAGGATGGCGGAGAAAAGCTTGGCGGGCGCACGCATGCGTGGTAGGCTCCCTCCACGTGCGTTTGGACCACCGCCTCCAGGCGTCCGGAGGCCCCGCCCCCGACCTCAGCATCTTTCCGGATGTGCGGAGCCGGTGAGATGGAAGGGGGTTGGACTTCGCGGCTCGGCCCCGCCTTGGTAGCCTCCGGTTGGACGTGGGTGAGGGCGTCCCCGCCCTCTGCCTTCCTATTGGTGCGCGCGTGCGAGCGGCGCGTCCCCATTGGGCCGCTCGCATTTGAGCACCAAATTCAAAGATTTTAAAAGTACCAGCTGGCGCCTTTTAAGAGATTGAGCTCTGTGAAGCAGACGGCTCTCTCTTAACCTGAAGCGGACCCCACGTCCACTGGTATGAGCCGGCTACCCTGCGGCTGCTCCCCACGGCCACCGCCTTGCTCCTGCAGCTCCAGCTCCAGCACCGTGACGGCCGCCGGGCGCCCTAGCCCCTCAGACGGTGAGTCAGGGGAGAGGGCGCGAGGGGGGCGCGTGCTCCAGGAGGGTGGGTACGGCGCCGGGCGCACCCTGCCACCCCTGACCCGACATCCTCCCGAACGTGGGAGCGCGGTCACACTCTGGGCCTGGGGCGGGCGGCTGCGACGGTTCCTTGGTCTAGGGAGAAAAAGGCTGGGGGTTAGGAAGGGGAAGCCTGATGTGCTGGGGAGGGATGGAGGGTCGCGGTGTCCCGCTTCCCAAGCCTCACCTGGGCTCCATCTCCGCGGGAGGTGCAGGTCGTGGTGCACTAGGGCGCCCTTTTTCCTTCTCGGAAGACCTACCGATCCCCACACCGCCTGAATAGGCGCCAAATGCCCCCCTCCCCTCCCCCACCCAGGGTCCCAGCTCTGACAGGGCAGCGAGCTGGCAGCCCCCAAGGTCAGGCCAGGTGCCTCAGCTCCACTCCCGGCGCCCCTTTTCCATATCCGTCCCGCACCCTCAGATCCCAGGGCAATCTCCCCGGTTTTTCGCCACCTCAGTCTTGGTGGCGGGCGCGGGAGATCTCGCTCGCGGTTATCTCCCGCCTCCTCCGCATGACCCGCGCCCTGAGGGGCAGGCCCACCGACCCCTCAGGATTAACAGGGGGCTCCCTTCCCACTCCCGCCAAATGAAGAGGATCCCCCCACACACACTCAGTCAGACCAAATTCATTGGGAACATCCAAACAAAAACATTAATTTTCTTCTTTTTTCTCTTTGCCCAGTAACTCAGCCTCAAGGCCCGCGATCGAAAGAGGAGGGTTGGGAAAAGCACATTTTAGTACAAAACCGTGAATTTGTCTATAATATTTAGCTGATTTTGTGAGAATTGAAGAATTGGTTACTTTTTCCTCTGTACTTGTGAAGAACCTGGTAGCCCTTTATTCCAAAACTTGTATAGAATGGAAGGCACTCAAAGGCTTATTTCCATCCTCTTTGTTGCTCTAACTAAATGAAATCCATATGCATTTACTTTACCTTATACATAATCAAAAATTTTTTAAAGTGTGGAGCAATTTAACGTGCTGTTTGGTAGAAGATCCTGGATCATCAGTCTCCCTTCGAGATTCTGAAGCTTGATGGCTTTGTGAGTTGGGGGGTTTGTGATTAGCTCCAGTTGTCTTCACTACCTTGCTCTTCAGAAAGTATTTGCTGTCCCCTGGAATTTTTTCCCCTGTTTACAGGTTTGAGGAAATAAAATTATTGCAAATAAATATTTTTAAAAATAAGCGTTTCTAAAATTTTCTTTTGAGAATTATGGCTGACTTAAACTTTATGGCCCCAAGCCTTGGGCCTCTGAAATTCTTAAGTAAAGGAATGGCCATGCCTAAAGTTGGGTACATGGTGGTTATCTATAGGTATTAGAGATTGTGGAACTTTGTTTAATTTAACAGTGAAAGAGCTATGAAGATTTTTATGCACTGTAATCTTATTATGGTATTGAATGTGCAGTGTCAGGTCTATATGGGAAAGTTAAATGAAGTACATACTGTACAGTTTACTGTAATATACCACTTTTTCACGATTTGACTGTGAGTTGGTAAATGAGAGGTTTAAAAAAATACAGTATTTGAGTCTTCCTTAGTATCTCCACTTTAGGGAAAATGAAAATGCTAATAGAACTTTCTAAGTTCACAAAGCTAGTCAAAGGGCTGAGCAAGAATTTTCATTTGAAATTGGAGCTGATCTTAAATCTATACTTTTTAATGAAAAAGTATATAATCTGAAATTATACTTCTGTGTAGAATGTATTTTACTACTTCTAAGTGTTCATGGTTTGCAGTGTAAGGAATATGAAGGGGTTGGGCTTTTATGATTAATGCGATAAAACTGATTACATTAATTAGACCCTTGTAACAGGGACTCTGCCATGCATTAAGCCCAGTTTTATTTTCTTACCCCCATTTTGTGTGTGAGGAAACTGAGGCTATGAGAGTTACCTTCCTTAGTTTTCTCCAACTCAATAAATGGCACTTTATAACTCAGACACTCTAGCCCTAACCTCCATTTTTTAGTCCCTTTTCTTTCATCATCCAAATCTAGTACATTAGCAAGTTCTATCTAAATAATAGACCCTCCTAAAGAGTACACCTTGAATCTATTCGATTATCTTCATTTCCACTGTAATCACCCTACTACTGGCTGCCCAACTTTCTAGACTCCTGTGATAAACACTTATAACTAGCCTCCCTGCTTCCAATTTTACCTTCCTAAAATTAATTCTCTACAGCTGCCAATGATCTTTTAAAAATGTAAACCAAATCTCACTCCTCCACTTATAACCCCTCAAAAGCCCAGCCTACCCTACAAATGCTATAGACCATTTTACCTCTCCAACCTTATTTTTCAATTATTCTCCCCCTAGCTCACCAAGTTGCAGCTATATATGGGTCTTTATGTTCCTTCAACACTCTACACTTGTCCTTGCTTCCTGTATTTCCCTCTGTCTGAAAACTCTTCCACCAGATTTCCACAGGCTTTTTATTTTTATTTATTTTATTTTATTTTTTAAAGATGACCAGTAAAGGGATCTTAACCCTTAGCTTGGTGTTGTCAGCACCACGCTCAGCCAGTGAGCTAACCGGCCATCCCTATATAGGATCTGAACCCGTGGCCTTGGTGTTATCAGCACCACACTCTCCTGAGTGAGCCACGGGCCGGCCCTTCCACAGGCTTTTTAAATCTCAATGTCACCTCTAAAAGATTATCCCTGACTAATACCTTCCTTTCCCCCTACCCTGACACTAAGTGGGCATTGGATAAATTAAATGAATGAAGTGGCAAAACTAATACCTTTCTAAGATTTCTAATACCTTTCTCCAGAAAAAGGAGCCAGAATTCCTTAGGGAAATGACTGATTCTAGGGCAAGAACAGGGGAAATACAGGATAAGCCTGGAATATCTTGTAGTGACAGAAAGTAAGGAGTGCTCAAAAAAACATAGTGATGCAAATATGTCCAAAAGGACACTGGAGCCAACTTAAAGACCTCACAATAGCAAAAGCTGAAACAATTTGAGCAACAACTCAAACAGTACTGGATTATAACCCAAAGTCCATGAGTCTATATTGATATAAATGATTGATTGAATGAATGAATGAATAGGAGAGAATAGACAAATCTCTAGTACNTGGGGGGAGGGTTCGTCTTCCGGAAAGTCTGCATTCCCGGACGACCAGAGTTGCGGCTCACCGAACTCCCACTTGTGAGATGATCGAAGAAAGTCAGCTGCCATTTGTACCCATAAGAGATCTTCAGACAGAAGCCGGACATGTCTTCAGGCTGAAACTAGATCTTGCAAGAGGCCGGTTCCCAGGATGGCGGAGAAAAGCTTGGCGGGCGCACGCATGCGTGGTAGGCTCCCTCCACGTGCGTTTGGAACACCGCCTCCAGGCGTCCGGAGGCCCCGCCCCCGACCTCAGCATCTTTCCGGATGTGCGGAGCCGGTGAGATGGAAGGGGGTTGGACTTCGCGGCTCGGCCCCGCCTTGGTAGCCTCCGGTTGGACGTGGGTGAGGGCGTCCCCGCCCTCTGCCTTCCTATTGGTGCGCGCGTGCGAGCGGCGCGTCCCCATTGGGCCGCTCGCATTTGAGCACCAAATTCAAAGATTTTAAAAGTACCAGCTGGCGCCTTTTAAGAGATTGAGCTCTGTGAAGCAGACGGCTCTCTCTTAACCTGAAGCGGACCCCACGTCCACTGGTATGAGCCGGCTACCCTGCGGCTGCTCCCCACGGCCACCGCCTTGCTCCTGCAGCTCCAGCTCCAGCACCGTGACGGCCGCCGGGCGCCCTAGCCCCTCAGACGGTGAGTCAGGGGAGAGGGCGCGAGGGGGGCGCGTGCTCCAGGAGGGTGGGTACGGCGCCGGGCGCACCCTGCCACCCCTGACCCGACATCCTCCCGAACGTGGGAGCGCGGTCACACTCTGGGCCTGGGGCGGGCGGCTGCGACGGTTCCTTGGTCTGGGGAGAAAAAGGCTGGGGGTTAGGAAGGGGAAGCCTGATGTGCTGGGGAGGGATGGAGGGTCGCGGTGTCCCGCTTCCCAAGCCTCACCTGGGCTCCATCTCCGCGGGAGGTGCAGGTCGTGGTGCACTAGGGCGCCCTTTTTCCTTCTCGGAAGACCTACCGATCCCCACACCGCCTGAATAGGCGCCAAATGCCCCCCTCCCCTCCCCCACCCAGGGTCCCAGCTCTGACAGGGCAGCGAGCTGGCAGCCCCCAAGGTCAGGCCAGGTGCCTCAGCTCCACTCCCGGCGCCCCTTTTCCATATCCGTCCCGCACCCTCAGATCCCAGGGCAATCTCCCCGGTTTTTCGCCACCTCAGTCTTGGTGGCGGGCGCGGGAGATCTCGCTCGCGGTTATCTCCCGCCTCCTCCGCATGACCCGCGCCCTGAGGGGCAGGCCCACCGACCCCTCAGGATTAACAGGGGGCTCCCTTCCCACTCCCGCCAAATGAAGAGGATCCCCCCACACACACTCAGTCAGACCAAATTCATTGGGAACATCCAAACAAAAACATTAATTTTCTTCTTTTTTCTCTTTGCCCAGTAACTCAGCCTCAAGGCCCGCGATCGAAAGAGGAGGGTTGGGAAAAGCACATTTTAGTACAAAACCGTGAATTTGTCTATAATATTTAGCTGATTTTGTGAGAATTGAAGAATTGGTTACTTTTTCCTCTGTACTTGTGAAGAACCTGGTAGCCCTTTATTCCAAAACTTGTATAGAATGGAAGGCACTCAAAGGCTTATTTCCATCCTCTTTGTTGCTCTAACTAAATGAAATCCATATGCATTTACTTTACCTTATACATAATCAAAAATTTTTTAAAGTGTGGAGCAATTTAACGTGCTGTTTGGTAGAAGATCCTGGATCATCAGTCTCCCTTCGAGATTCTGAAGCTTGATGGCTTTGTGAGTTGGGGGGTTTGTGATTAGCTCCAGTTGTCTTCACTACCTTGCTCTTCAGAAAGTATTTGCTGTCCCCTGGAATTTTTTCCCCTGTTTACAGGTTTGAGGAAATAAAATTATTGCAAATAAATATTTTTAAAAATAAGCGTTTCTAAAATTTTCTTTTGAGAATTATGGCTGACTTAAACTTTATGGCCCCAAGCCTTGGGCCTCTGAAATTCTTAAGTAAAGGAATGGCCATGCCTAAAGTTGGGTACATGGTGGTTATCTATAGGTATTAGAGATTGTGGAACTTTGTTTAATTTAACAGTGAAAGAGCTATGAAGATTTTTATGCACTGTAATCTTATTATGGTATTGAATGTGCAGTGTCAGGTCTATATGGGAAAGTTAAATGAAGTACATACTGTACAGTTTACTGTAATATGCCACTTTTTCACGATTTGACTGTGAGTTGGTAAATGAGAGGTTTAAAAAAATACAGTATTTGAGTCTTCCTTAGTATCTCCACTTTAGGGAAAATGAAAATGCTAATAGAACTTTCTAAGTTCACAAAGCTAGTCAAAGGGCTGAGCAAGAATTTTCATTTGAAATTGGAGCTGATCTTAAATCTATACTTTTTAATGAAAAAGTATATAATCTGAAATTATACTTCTGTGTAGAATGTATTTTACTACTTCTAAGTGTTCATGGTTTGCAGTGTAAGGAATATGAAGGGGTTGGGCTTTTATGATTAATGCGATAAAACTGATTACATTAATTAGACCCTTGTAACAGGGACTCTGCCATGCATTAAGCCCAGTTTTATTTTCTTACCCCCATTTTGTGTGTGAGGAAACTGAGGCTATGAGAGTTACCTTCCTTAGTTTTCTCCAACTCAATAAATGGCACTTTATAACTCAGACACTCTAGCCCTAACCTCCATTTTTTAGTCCCTTTTCTTTCATCATCCAAATCTAGTACATTAGCAAGTTCTATCTAAATAATAGACCCTCCTAAAGAGTACACCTTGAATCTATTCGATTATCTTCATTTCCACTGTAATCACCCTACTACTGGCTGCCCAACTTTCTAGACTCCTGTGATAAACACTTATAACTAGCCTCCCTGCTTCCAATTTTACCTTCCTAAAATTAATTCTCTACAGCTGCCAATGATCTTTTAAAAATGTAAACCAAATCTCACTCCTCCACTTATAACCCCTCAAAAGCCCAGCCTACCCTACAAATGCTATAGACCATTTTACCTCTCCAACCTTATTTTTCAATTATTCTCCCCCTAGCTCACCAAGTTGCAGCTATATATGGGTCTTTATGTTCCTTCAACACTCTACACTTGTCCTTGCTTCCTGTATTTCCCTCTGTCTGAAAACTCTTCCACCAGATTTCCACAGGCTTTTTATTTTTATTTATTTTATTTTATTTTTTAAAGATGACCAGTAAAGGGATCTTAACCCTTAGCTTGGTGTTGTCGGCACCACGCTCAGCCAGTGAGCTAACCGGCCATCCCTATATAGGATCTGAACCCGTGGCCTTGGTGTTATCAGCACCACCCTCTCCTGAGTGAGCCACGGGCCGGCCCTTCCACAGGCTTTTTAAATCTCAATGTCACCTCTAAAAGATTATCCCTGACTAATACCTTCCTTTCCCCCTACCCTGACACTAAGTGGGCATTGGATAAATTAAATGAATGAAGTGGCAAAACTAATACCTTTCTAAGATTTCTAATACCTTTCTCCAGAAAAAGGAGCCAGAATTCCTTAGGGAAATGACTGATTCTAGGGCAAGAACAGGGGAAATACAGTGAGCTAACCGGCCATCCCTATATAGGATCTGAACCCGTGGCCTTGGTGTTATCAGCACCACCCTCTCCTGAGTGAGCCACGGGCCGGCCCTTCCACAGGCTTTTTAAATCTCAATGTCACCTCTAAAAGATTATCCCTGACTAATACCTTCCTTTCCCCCTACCCTGACACTAAGTGGGCATTGGATAAATTAAATGAATGAAGTGGCAAAACTAATACCTTTCTAAGATTTCTAATACCTTTCTCCAGAAAAAGGAACCAGAATTCCTTAGGGAAATGACTGATTCTAGGGCAAGAACAGGGGAAATACAGGATAAGCCTGGAATATCTTGTAGTGACAGAAAGTAAGGAGTGCTCAAAAAAACATAGTGATGCAAATATGTCCAAAAGGACACTGGAGCCAACTTAAAGACCTCACAATAGCAAAAGCTGAAACAATTTGAGCAACAACTCAAACAGTACTGGATTATAACCCAAAGTCCATGAGTCTATATTGATATAAATGATTGATTGAATGAATGAATGAATAGGAGAGAATAGACAAATCTCTAGTACTGCAAATATGTCCAAAAGGACACTGGAGCCAACTTAAAGACCTCACAATAGCAAAAGCTGAAACAATTTGAGCAACAACTCAAACAGTACTGGATTATAACCCAAAGTCCATGAGTCTATATTGATATAAATGATTGATTGAATGAATGAATGAATGAATGAATAGGAGAGAATAGACAAATCTCTAGTAGAGAAGAATTCCAAATGATTTATATATTTATTTCCCCTCAAAGAGGGGGAGCCTAACTCCTTTAAGTGTGAGCTGTGCATAGTGACTCCCTTTCAAAGAGTATGGTATGGAAAAGGAACAAAAAGGAATAACTTTACGGTGGAGAAACATGACATGTACCACCTCATCCCAGTGATCAAGGTTATCAATGATGAATCATATTAATAGCATGTTCCCTTGATATATGTGATGACAATAGCACAAAGGCCACACCTCTGTGGCCTTTCTCCTAAAAACCTACAACCCCAGGCTAACCAAGAGAAAAACATTAGGCAAATCCTAATTGAGGGACATTCTACAACATTACTTGACCAGTACTTAAAATTGTCAAGGTTATCATAAACAAGTAAAGTGAGAGAAATGGTCATAGCCAAGAGGAGCTTAAGGAGACATGATGACTGAAGTAAGGTGGTTTCCTGGATGAGATCCTCGAACAGAAAAAAAGACATAAAATATGGATTTTAGTTAAAAATCATGCATCAGTATTGGTTCATTAATTGTGATATGAACCATAGTAATATAAGTTGAGTAATGATGCTGGATGTACAGGAACTCTGTACTGTCCTTCCTTGCAAAATTTCTGTAAATCTAAAACTAGTCTAAAATAAGTTCATGAAAATAATGAATCTAATTATCCGTGTGAAAATACGAGGGGTCTTCAAAAAGTTCATGGAAAGATTTATATTTTAATTCTTTTTTTCCATGAACTTTCTGAAGTACTCATACATGTTGGCACAAGAATAATGGGACAATCATTTGGTTGATGTTTAAGTGTTAATTTAATGAGTAAGAGTGCAGATTCTAACATTGGTATTAGTAAACTATACTGTCTTCATTGTGTCAGGGACTGTACCATTTGCTTGGATTCTATAGTAAGCAATAGATAGTATAAATGTGAAACAAAATATGGCATACTTTTTTAAAATTTGTAAGCAGGTCTGTTTTTCCAAAGCACCTAATTCTCCTGTGAGTTAGTAGAAAGAGCACTGGATTTACAGTCAGAAAAAGTAATCTGGCTCACCTAACTACTTGTCTTGGGCAGGCTACTTAACTGAGCTTCATTGTGCTCAATTGTAAAAATAACAATTCCCCACCTACCTCTCAAAAGGTTGTGAGAACCATGTGTTTGTAAACATTGGAAATTGCAAACTTCTAAACAAATATAAGGTATTTGAATCATTATTTGGTCTAATTTTTAAAAACTGTCCATATTCAAAGACTGGTGCTGAACAAAAGAGGTTCTGTAGGACAGTCTCCCATTGTAAAGACAGCAGAAGGAAGAATGCCTTTGAAAAGTTCCTGAAGTACAGTTTCCAGCCCCCTTTGCTTTAGGCAGCTAAACAAAGCAAAAGTATGCCTTCGTAGGTGGCTTCTGCATTTTTATCCTCTCAGATAAATTGTGGTCATATGTAAATCAGACTTAATTCTTTAGTTGAAGCAAGAACAGAAACATTCTCTTTTAGCATTTTCAACTCTTTTGAATGGAAGGAAACCACTCAGAACAATTTGTTCCAGAGTTAGGATTTGTTGGGAGGTTAGAATTTGTATATTCTTTACCTATTTTTTTTAGGTTTAAGACCAAGATTTAGTGGGATCCTGGAGCACATACTATGTGTCTTTCACTGTGTTAGGAACTGGGAATTTAAAAGCAGTTTCTATCTGCAAGGTTACTTGTGTCAAGGTATTCTTTTATACTTTGATTTGAAAGGTTTTGCTCTAAGTTAAAATGGTTAAATTCATATGGACACATTACCAGTATTTCGTTCAGACTAAACATATTGACTGTACATACATTTACTTACAGATAAATTTTTACCTTCATATGATTGCCTTGCAAGGGGATGGTAGGCAGAGCACATTTGAAGAAGCATAGGAAGTCCACACTTAACTTGACATTCAAGACTCTGAGACTCTCTTAGCTCATGTCTCCATTATTCCCCTGCTCATATATTCTGCCTTCAACAATGCTAATCAAGCTTTATGAACCAACCTATCTACCGTATTTCTTCCCTGCATTATGCCTTTGCCCAAGTTATCCTTCCACGAGTGCACATCCCAGCCTCAACTGCCTGACAAAATCCTAATCAACCTTTAAATCAAGCTTTATGAACCAACCTATCTACCGTATTTCTTCCCTGCATTATGCCTTTGCCCAAATTATCCTTCCACGAGTGCACATCCCAGCCTCAACTGCCTGACAAAATCCTAATCAACCTTTAAAGCCATGGTTCTCGACTGATATACAGGGAAAATTTTGCAGCAGGCCTATCCCACTCCCCAGTATTTGGCAGTAACTGGTACAAAGACATTTGTTTATTATTGCATTTTGGGGTAGGGGCTGCTACTGATATCTAATGGGTAAAGGCTGCTAAACATCCTGCAATGCACAGGACAGTCCCTAGTGACAAGGAATTATCCAGCCTAAAATGTCAGTGGTATAAAGATTGAAAAACCCTACTTTAAGGCTATCTTAAAATGCTAACTGCTCCATTATATCTTAACTAATTTGTTAGTTCTTTAGGATGGGGGCGGGGGGTGACGATACAACCCTAAACAAGTCTTTGGCTTTTTTTAAAGATTAAATTTGAATCAGCAATTATGAGTTCTAATGGATAATATCCAGAAATAATTCCATGGTTTGTTAATAGTCTCAAAGCTTGTTTTCCCTTTTATGCTACTTATCATAAATAGCCAGTATATTATCTTAAGTTATCTAACACACCTGAACAAAAGCTCACATCTGCTGCCCACTGCATGCTTGTTTCTTGTTACCAAATCTTATTTCTGATTAGTAGCTACACTATTAATTCTTCTGATTCTCTGATTAATTAGTCATGAAAAGTCTTTGTTTAGTTATTAAAGATAGCAGTGTCTAGGACTGTTAGGCAAGATATAAGGAGATGTTGTCATTGTGCTTGAGTTTACTATCCATCAGGGTAGACAGATGCCTTAACCATATCAGACAGTCACCTAGAGCACCAATCAGAATTAAAAACTTGGAGATGAGAACTGTGGGAGTTCAGGTAGATTTTAACTTAATGGATGTTTAAATTTATTAACTTTTTAGTCCTTTTCTCCAAGCTAGCTGTAGATTTCTTGATTAATTATATTAAGGCTTGCAATAATTGCTAGTGTTTAAGTAATACACAATTTTTTATTTAACTTTTATCAAGACTGAATGTTTTGACCCTTACATGTTCTCCTCACCCACTGGTCTTAACCATTTTTATGGTCAATGGCTTGGTTTATCCTTAAGTCAAAGTGAACTATAATGTCATTTCAAGTCCAGGGTGTAAATACTGATTCTAGAAGTATTTGTGGTTACTTTATGGTTAACTTTGACCTTAGACCCTATTCTTTTGATGCATCATATATCCTCATTTGTTTCATAAGCACGGATATATTTATTATGCAACTCTTTTTTTCACTATTTTTTTTACTCAATCAGATATAGATAACAGTCAGATGTTGTAGCTATACAGCTCCAAAAACAGTCTTTTTTGAAGTACCTTTTCAAGAATGATACAGTAGAATATGTATATACTTATAATATTTAGGTAATATTTCCATATGTTATTGTTATATAATTAAACTTGGATAATTTCACAGCTATATAGGCAAGTGCATGTGCATATAGGCAATACATAGTGTTGAGAGAATGCAAAGTAACCAGTTTAAGAAGTAGGTATGTGTGGAAATTTTGCCATTAAGAAGTAAATGTTCTTTTTGTAGGTTGTGAAAAAGAAAGTCCCACTCTTTCTGTCAAAATGAAGTGTGATTTTAATGGTAACCATGTTCGTTCTGGACTGAAAGTGGTAAAATCTGTTGACAGTGGAAGACTGAGTTCCTACACTCCTACATATTTGGAAGGTTCTTGTGAAGACTTCATCAAAGACAATGAAAGGTCGATAACTTCGTATAATGTATGCTATACGAAGTTATTACGGTAGGCAACTGTGACACAATGGCTACAATGTCATTAGGCAACAGGAATTTTTCACCTCCGTTATAATCTTATGGGACCACCATCATCTATGCGGTCCATCATTGACTGAAGCATTCGTTATTTGGCACATGACTACCGTAATGGCTACTTATTTGATGTTTGCAAATATTGTAAAAAAAAAAAAAAAAAAATTAAGTGCAAACTGGCTCTTAAGCCTGCATGCACTTAGGATTACTTGATGGGGAGCTTTTAAGAAATGCAGAACTCGGGCCTCATTTTAAACTAATTAAACCCAAACGACTAGGTATGGGACCTCCTTAAATCTTAAGTGCCTGTGTTTGAGAAGCACTGCTAATATGTTTCTTTTTTGCACTGTTAATGATTTTCTTCTATATTTGTTTTAGTTCTTTGTGATGCTTTAATTGTTTCCTTTTGTGGTTGTTTACTTTTCCAGTGTGTGTAAAGTGAGCACAACTTGGAAGAAGATTCTAGAAGATGATAAGGGAGCATTCCAGTTGTACAGTAAAGCAGTGCAAAAGGTTACTGTAAGTCTTTGCAGTTGATGTTTTTATTTTAAAATACACTGCTAGTGCTCTTTTAGAAACAGGAGGGAGAAATAGGAAGGAAAGAAAACAAGCAGTCTGGAAACCTTTCTTTTTTTTTTTTCCTTTTCTGTGACCGGTAAGGGGATCGCAACCCTTGGCTTGGTGTCGCCCACACCGTGCTCAGCCAGTGAGCGCACCGGCCACCCCTATATAGGATCCGAACCCATGACAGGAGCACCACTGTGCTCCCAGTGCTGCACTCTCCTGAGTGAGCCACGGGGTCGGCTCGGAAACCTTTCTTTATATTCACAAAGCATTTCAGCCTTGCACTAGAACTCTATAAGAAACCAAATTCAGAAACAAAGAAAATAATCCCACCTCAGTCAGTCATTTATTTCTTGGGTTCTCCCTAGAAATAGAATGTCCAAAGTAATGAGGGGAAAAGTAATCAGTCCTCCGAGTTCACCATATTGCCAATCTTGGTCACCATTTGTATGTGTGTGTGTTTTATATATAACCTTAGGAAAATTTGGAAAAGCTGTATTGTTTGCACTTCCTAATTATTAATAAGGGCTATAAAAAAGAGTATTTTTTTCTGTTACCAGGAAAATAGTAAATTATCTACAGATCTATGATTCCTAACATAGAAGGAACTGCCTTTACTTTTCCAAAGTAGTAGCTTTGGAGATTTTTATGAGAATCTAGATTAATATGTGATTAAAAGTTCAGGCCTTAAAGTTAAACAGATTTAGGACCACATTTTGGTGCTGCTACTTACTAGCTCTGTAGCTTTTGACAACTATTTCTTAAATTCTCCAAGTTCAATTTCTAAAAGGTTCTTTTTAAAGCTGTTTGTAACACTGACACCTAAATCTGACTATCGCCATCTACTGGTGGTGGTAAGAATAACATTTTGTTTTGGAAATGTACTTTGACATTGGTTTGTTATAAATTGTGTATTCAGTGCTGTATAGACTACACATGTAAAGTGGTTTCTCACAGTTCTGGCTCACAATTTCTGTCAGTAAGTTAGACTTTAAATGTGTGAATAGTTTGGTGTGGCTGTGTTTAAGCACTGCAGGTAAATGGATGTATGGATAAGTCCTTTACATTCTCACTTGGTATTTCTCACATGTACAGACATAATTAAAATGCTTGATTGTTGAGAATATAAGGAAGTATTTTTAAGTCCTATTAAACTTTTTTTTAATTAGAAAAACATTAAATTTTCAACACATTCTACAACCAGAGAATATGTTATGTTCAGAACTGCATTAGCTTCTGTTCAAAAGTCAGCAGCCCAGATTCCTCCCAAAAAAGATGCTCAAACCAAGTTATCCAGCCAAGATGATCAGGAAGATTCTGCTTACAGTCGACACAATGAATTCTCTGAGGTAACTTTTTGTTTAATCAATGAATTAGAAACACGGAGTATTTATTGTTAAAAGGATTTAGAATGAGACATGAAAAAGAACTTTCAAGATCAAAATGTAACTCGGGTACTTGCTGGCTGGTCAGCTCAGTTTAGTTAGAGCGTAGTGGTGGTCCAGGGTTCAATTCCTGTACCCTCCAGCTGCCTCTTCCCCAACTCCTTACCAAATTAGTACACGTGATACTGATGGTCATTTAAATGTAATTATAGTGTAATTGGAACTACTAGGGAATTATTAGTGTAGATCTTTTGTAGATCTCACTTTTTGTCTCCTTCATTTTACTCTTAAAAATGCAGAGAACCACAAAGTCTTTTTTTTTTTTTTAAGATGACCGGTAAGGGGATCTTAACCCTTGACTTGGTGTTGTCAGCACCACGCTCACCCAGTGAGCTAACCGGCCATCCCTATATGGGATCCGAACCCGGGGCCTTGTTGTTATCAGCACCACACTCTCCCGAGTGAGCCACGGGCCGGCCCCAAAAAGTCATTTTAAATTAGGAAAGTAAACAGAGGTATCTTTCTATGCTGTTCGTAGATACTGTTTGGCATTGTTAATGAAGCTGGGTAATATTGAGTTCTAATTTGGAACACTAAGGAAATAATAAAAATGCTTTCTTGATTTTACAGTTTGTTATAAAACTACTCAACTACTACATTTAGCAGTTGCTGTCCTTAATAACTGAGGAAGAGAACTAAGCAGAAAAAGGCCAGCTTTTAGACATTGAAGGCTCTTATACTAAGAGTGCATGTTTTGAAATAAAATGTTGACTGCTTTATATGTTGGTTAATAGGTATTTTTTTTTCCCCTGTGGCTGGTTCTTTTTTTTTTTGTCTTTTGTCTTTTTCCGTGTCCGGCAACGGGATCGCAACCCTCGGCGTTGCTCCCGCGCCTCGCTCAGCCAGTGAGCGGGAACCGGTCCATATGTGGGATCCGAACCCTCGGGCGGGAGCGCCACTGCGCTTCCCAAGCGGCACACTATCCAGTGCGCCACCGGGCCGGCCCCTGTGGCTGGTTCAGTGTGGGGATTTGAACCTTTGACCTTAGTGTTACAACACCGAACTCTAACCAGCTGACCTAATCGGCCAGACCCATAAATATAAATTCTATATAATAAAATTTACCTTCTGTCTTAAATGTTTATGATGTAACGAACCTCTCACCTATTGAATAGTAAGCTCCTTAAGGACAGGAGTTGTCTTACTTGTGACAAGTGACTTGTGACAAGTTGTCTTACTTGTGACTTCATACATGTATTGGGGAAGGCATAGAGGTGCCCTTCTTGGTTTTACTAAATTACACTCAGTCCTTACTAAACTGTTTATGAACTTTTTTCTTTCTAGGTTGCCAAGACTTTGAAAAAGAATGAAAGCCTCAAAGCCTGTATTCGCTGTAATTCACCTGCAAAATATGATTGCTATTTACAGCGGGCAACCTGCAACCGAGAAGGGTGTGGATTTGATTATTGTACAAGGTGTCTGTGTAATTATCATACTACCAAAGACTGTTCAAGTGGCAGGCCCCTAAAAGCCAGTTGTAAAATGGGTCCTCTGCCTGGTACCAAAAAAAGCAAAAAGAATTTACGAAGGTTGTGATCTCTTATTAAATCAGTTGAACTGATCATGAACGTTAGAAAATGTTAGGTTTTAATTTTTAAAAATAAAAATAAATGTATCATGATTTTCAATTTTATGTTGAAATCAATGTAGTATCTGGCATTTTTCCCCAGTGGATAAGGAGGATACACAGCCTCTTAAAATATTTTACAATTTAATGTAAAAAGTTTAAAATTCTCAGTACAAATCAGAAAATTTAAGTATTTTAAGAAAAAAGGTAAGCCAGTTAGGTAGTTATCTGATATTTGTGATTCAGAGGGTAAAATACAATTGATTCTATTTTATGGTAAAGGAAGGCCATGTAATTTTACCTAGACAACCTAAAATATAAATCTGGCTTACCTTCTATTAGCATTTGACACATTTTATTGCCTTACCAAATTAATGCCAATTGAAATATGAATTTCTGGAGTCTGTTAATTTAAATGTTTTGTTGCCTTTGTTGAACCTTTTTTTCAGTGTATATCTTTCCCAACAAAATATCCTTTGTAAAGTCTTGCTTGCTTTTCTTATTTCTGAAATCTGTTTTAATATTTTTGTATATATGTAGATATTTCTGTGTTTTTATGTCTCAAAGTAAGAATATCTCTTTTGTATCTATATGTAAAAATAAATTTTGTTACTGTTATGAATAAATTTGTTATAAGCTTAATAAATAATGCATACCTTTTATTTTTATAAACATCAATGGAATTAGGAAACCAGTAGACTGCATTTGTTTGTGTGAAGGCATTGAGTGGATCTATGTGTCTATTTTTCTGGAGAGTTTGTGAGATTCGCAGACTGCATGCTGACTCCAGTTTTCTCCCTACTCCTAATAACTTAGTTCAGTAGTCATGGAGTAGGGTCATAAAAAAAGCATCTCAAGATGATTCAAACAGGAAGACCATAAAACACACTTTGAGAAATCCTAGCTGTGTTAATTCATTTGTCACTAATGGGTTAAACACAAAAAAAAAATACTAGAAAAATTAATGTGTAGAATAAAATGTTGTCTTAACTGCAATCACAGGCCCAGGACAAGGACATTTTTATTAATTAATTTCCAAGGTTGAATATGTTTATTTCAATTATGAATATGGAAAAAAAGTAAGAGGTTGAATTCAGAGAAAAGGTCCTCTAAAGATGTAAAGACAAGGACATTTTTATTAATTAATTTCCAAGGTTGAATATGTTTATTTCAATTATGAATATGAAAAAAAAGTAAGAGGTTGAATTCAGAGAAAAGGTCCTCTAAAGATGTAAAGGTGGGCTTCAGAGATCCTATCAGTAGTGCCTCAAAGAAACTTTGAGGCTTTACCCTTTATCAGAATCCTAAGTTAAGAGATTTACCTCAGATGGGTTTGTCTTTGTGGGTGTGCCTATCTTAGTGGAGTGTAAAACTCCAGTAAGATGAAGACTCATTTTTTAAGCAGCTTTATTGAGGTAAAATTGTCATAAAATAGACTACATAACTTAAAATTTGTAACTTGATAATTTTTGACATATGTACACACATGAAGCATTTGCCACAATTAAGGTAACGAACATAACCACCATCAAGTTTTTTCCTGCCTTTTTGTAGTCTTGTCAGTTCCCAGATAATCACTGATCTGCTTTTTGTCATTGTAGATTAGTTTGCCTTTTCTAGAATTTTATATATATGGAATCAAAGTATATTGCTTTCACTGAATGTTATTTTGAGATTCATCCATGTGTGTATGTTGTAGTGAGCAGGACTGTAAGCATGTTGGGAGCTAAAACTGCACGGACTGTAGGCAAATTTTAAAAGGACACAGTTTTTTTCTTGGCATGCATTGTTATGAGTTCTCTATTTTCTCATGGTTATTTGGTATTTTGAACCTTGGTTTATGGGGCAAGATGACATTTACATGAATGAAAAGTTGTTTTCCAGCCAGCCTGAAGCTTCAGACTTGCACATACTACCCAGACTCAGATAACAGCAAAGATGGGAGCAGAAACCAGATGGGTGCTTGGCTAGACTTTGCACCTGAGACCTTGCATGAAACCCTTGCTGCTCATGTGCCCCGGCCTCTTTTCATTTTCCATGTTCCATTCCCTCAGCTCCTCTTTAAAAACCACTTAATAAATTGGAATCTTTGAGATGGCTTTAGCCTGGCCATTCTTCAGGTTTACCAGGGAGGTGAGTTAGCCTACCACCTCTCCTCAGGTCCACTGGTATTCCTGAATAAAAGCTGACTTCCATTTTCACTAACATATGACTTTTGAGGGGCTCGCCTTTGGAAAGGGACAGTCAGCCAGTCCTGTGTGCCGGGTAGCAAATTTTGGCAAGCCAAGCTAATAGTGGCCTTAGTCTCGTGCACAAGTAGTTCCTTCTTTTTTCTTATTGAAGCAGTATGCTGTTGTATATACCAGTTTGTTTATCCATTCACCTGTTGGACATTTGACTTTCTCGCCCCCTTTTTTTGCTATTACAAATAAGGAGCTGTAACCATTTATATGTAAGTCTTTGTGAGCAGTTATTTTTTCACTTCTCAGGTAAGTATCTAGGAGTGGACTGGTTAAATTATATGCTAGGTGTATGTTTAGCTCTAAGAAAATATTAAAATGTTTTCCAAACTAGCTGTACCATTTTATGTTCTTAAGCAATGTATGAGAATTCCATTTATTTCATGTTCTTGTCGATACCTGGTATAGTTAGTCTTTTTTTTTTTTCCTTTTTGTCTTTTTTCGTGTCCAGCAACGGATCGCAACCCTCAGTGTCGCGCCCGTACCGGACCAGGACCGGCAACGGGATCGCAACCCTCGGTGTTGCGCCTGCACCTCGCTCAGCCAGTGAGCGGGAACCGGTCTGTATGTGGGATCCGAACCCTCGGCGGGAGCGCCACCGCGCTCCCAAGCGGCGCACTGTAGCAGTGCGCCACCGGGCCGGCCCTATAGTTAGTCTTTTTAATTTTAGCCATTCTAATGGGTGTGTAGTAATATCTCATTGTGGATTTAATTTACCTATCCTAAAGACTAACGAGGTTTAGCATCTTTTCATGTTATTTACCTCCATACGTTTTCTGTGGTGAAGTGTCTGTTCGAATGATTTGATTTTTTTAAAATGTTGAGATTTAAGAGGATATGAAGATAGAAGTGCTTCATTAGGGTGTGTCTTGTCTTCCATTTTCTTAGCATCTTTGGAAGAGAAGTTTTTATTTTTTATGAAGTCCAAATTATCAACTGTTTTTCTTTTATGGATTGTTCTTTTGATGTGTCTAAGAAATGTGCCTAGCTTAGGAGCATAATTATTTTTCTCTAATGTCTGCTTCTAGAAGCTTTATAGTTTTCAATTTAACATTTAGGTCTGTGATCTATTTGCTGTTACATTTTGAATATGATGAGAGTTATGGATCGAAATGGATATCCACATGTTCCAGCACCATTCAATGATGACAATCCTTTCCCTCACCAAAATGCCTTTGCACCTTGGCCAAAAATCAATTTTAATAAATATGAGGGTCTATTTCAGCTTTATTTTGTTCAATTGGTCTATTTATCTCTTCAGTTCCAAAACCACAGTGCCTTGATACCTGTAGTTTTATAGTCTTGAAATCAGATAGTGATAGTCCTTTATTTTTCTTTCAAAAAAAAATTTTTTTATTACTCTTTTTTTTGTAAGTTATTTTGTCTATTCTAGGTCCTTTGCATTTCTACATAAATTTTATAATCATTGGGCCGGCCTGTGGCTCACTCGGGAGAGTGCAGTGCTGATAACACCAAGGCCACGGGTTCAGATCCTATATAGGGATGGCCGGTTAGCTCACTGGCTGAGTGTGGTGCTGACAACACCAAGTCAAGGGTTAAGATCCCCTTACCGGTCATCTTTAAAAAAAAAAAAAAAAAATTATAATCTTTCCAGTTTCTACAAAAACACATGATGGACTGTGGTTGGGGTTACAATGCATCTGTAGATCAATTTGGAGAAACTGAAAACAACGTTGAATTTTCCATTCCATGAACATGGTAGTTCTACTGATTTACATCTTTCAAAATTTTTCTTAGCAATGTCTTATCTTTTCATTGTCCATGTCTTGCATTCTTGTACATCTTGTATTGCCGGAGACCAGCTCCAGTTGAGTTGGGGGTCCTTGAAAGAGGGATGAGGAAGCGGCGAAAATAAAAAAACACAGGCAGAGACCTCAGTTCCTCTGAAGCACGTTCTCAGCCTGTGGGCTGTCAGCGCTGTTGCAGCCAGAGCAGCTAAAGCAGCTGAAGCAGCCTTTAGACTGAAAACAGCATTTTTATTTGTTACACAACATGGGGGGGGGGGGGTTAATGTGGGCATTTTAACTACATAAACCTTTAAAATTATTAAGCCAATAGTTAAGTGGAAACTTTTTTTTTTTAATTACGTCAGTTCTCATAAAATTAATAATCTACAAAGTTAAATAAAACTCGGTGGTCAGCCAATTCTTTCTGATGATTATATCTGTTGTGGTTGATTAGTCCGTGACTCTCTGTTCTTGATGTTTTTCACCATTGTGTTACTTTTTTTCTTGTCCTCGTATTAACCTTAAACTTATTACTACCAGCAAGCATAAATTATATGTCTGACTCAAAACTGAGACGGCAGTGATTGCGGTTACAAAGTGTTAAACAAACCTTATATATATTTTTGACTTTGATTTAATTATTCTCATATTTCTATAGGCATGAATCTATTGTTCATTCCAACCATTCTCTTACCATTAATATAATCCCCTGTGAATGACGTTTGCCAACTTAAGTCATATTTAGGACGTCCCCTAGGAGGGTACCAAATTTTTCCTTTTCCCATTTTATAATCCATATAACCATTTACCCAGATGGTGGGAAGAGGATGGGGATTTCTATTGTTTATTAATTTCTTCGGTAAAAACAATTGCTCATGGCTA